CACATCAACTATCAGGGTGAAAAGGAAAGGAGAAAGAGGGTCCCCTTGTCTTAAACCTCTCTTTGCCAGGAAGAAATCCTTGGCTACCCCATTAACTAGAATGGAGTAGTGGCATGAAGAGATACAACCCTTAACCCACATGCACCACCTCTCTCCAAATCCTCTAATTCTCAATACTTCAAGTAAAAAAACCCAGTCCACCAAATCATAGGCCTTCTCCAAGTCCAATTTGCAAATCAGGCCCTTTTCTCCTTGTCTTTTTTGTAATCCACATATTCATTAGCAATAAGGATTTGATCAATAATTTGTCTTCCTGACACAAACACCCCTTGGTTCAGAAAAATCAAGGATGGTAGTACCTTTTTGATTCTTTCTGCCAAGACCTTTGAGATTACCTTATACATACTACCAATTAGGCTTATGGGCCTAAAATCCTTTAGGTGGTTTGCATTTACCTTTTTAGGAATTAGAGCTATGAAAGTAGCATTGGCACCCGAATTTATCTTACCTCTCTCAAAGAAATCCAAGAAGACCTCCATTAAATCACCACCTATAATATCCCAGCCATTTTGGTAAAAGGCCATCACGAAACCATCTAGGCCTAGGGCTCTAGATCTTTCCATTGAAAAAATAGCATCTTTTACTTCTTGGGCCTCAAAATTCTTTTCTAGTTGATCCATCAACTCTATTCCCTGAAAGCCAATCAAGGTTAGGAATTTCTTCTCTCTCTCTTCTTGGGTTGTCATAAATGGATTTGAAATGCTCCACAAAAGCTCTTGCTATCTCCTCCTCACCTTATGGGTCTAAGAGCATGTTGAGCTGTTCAGGCCCATCATGACCCATCCAAAACCTATGCCTGAAAATATATGCTCGAGACCACTTCTATGCAAGGTTTTAAAAGGCTAAAGGCATAGTTGAGGTATAATGACCCAAAAAGGTGAGACGTAAGCCTCAAGGTGTAAGCCTCAAAGTTTAAGGAAAAATTAATTATTTTTTTGTAAATTGATGAAAATAACATATAATATGCCAAATTAAAAAGATAGAAAGTATACATGTCCATAAACTATAAGTTTATAAGCAACAAGTTTTGAAATTTAAGCATTAAATAATATAATAACTAATCAACTAACAATTATAAATATTTTACATTTCATATAAAAAAACCAATTTAGAAGAAAAGAAACAACTTAGTTAATTTGATCTATAATAATAATAATAATAATAATAATAATAATAATAATAATAATAATAATAATAATAATAATAGTAATAATAATAATAATAAGGGTGATCAAATCCAACCTGGCCCGGAAATTTCTGGGCCCATGCACAAGGTTTTAATCCAAGCCTGGCCTGGCCAGACCTGCATCAACCCTACACATAATGCAAGATTGAGCTGCGAACTTAAAACCTCAAGCCTAGAAAATCCAGCCCAGCCCAGATCATATATATTTAGTGTGTTTGATGTACAATTTTATAACCCCATTTCAATTTTTAATAAGGGGCAATGGTATTTTGAATATTGACAGAACAAATATATGTATATATATGTAATTTTAAATATATTTTGATTTTTACAATAGGTTCAACTTCATTGGATTACGTGGGCAAAAGCCAATTGCCTCACCTAACTGACATAGAAGCATTGTTTTAAAAGGCTTAAGCCTCACAACTTTGATGTGAGGCTTAAGCCTTTGTCAGAATGAGGTGTAAGCCCCAAGCCTTAAGGCATGAGGTATAGCCTGAGGCATAAAAAGGCGTAAGCCTCAAGTATCAATGATTACTTAGTGATTTAATGCAAAAAATATACATTTTTATAATTTAAAGCATATAGAAAAAACACTTCAATAATTATATGCCAAATAAAAAAAAGTAAAAAAGAAAAACCAATAAGTCAAATCAAATATTATTTAGTTTTTCTTAGTATTTTAACAGAGTTCAATGAAAAAAAAAACTAATCAAGTTCTTAGTTTCTTTTGGACAAATCAAGTGAGATTTTTGTTGTTATTCTAAATGTAATGTCCCATGTTTGTTATTATTATTTTTTATTTCTTCTACTAATGGATCTTTTCATAATAATTATAATAATTATTATTATTATTATTAATTCCTACAAAACCTTGTTGTTCTTTACTCAGGCAATTATTACTGATTTTGCCTGAAGATCGTTATTTGAGTGATAAACTGTATCTTACAGATCTTCATCAATTTGCGCTATTCAGTAGTGTAACCAAACCTTGAGAATTCCTAGAGATAAAATCCACCTACCTTAAAAATCCCTTAAAACCTTGACACAAACAAAAACATAGCCACACCTTATGTCTTCTTTTGCACCATTTAGTCAGGTTCCACCTTGGATTCTATTTCTCCAGTTTCAATCCATTTCTCTTGAAGTTTCTGCACTCTTAAAAACCCTAATTTGATTCCAGATCTGTTAAACCTGATCCAAAAGCCCACCCCACTCAACCTAATTTCAATGCTATAATAATTTCAGTCTCCAATATCATACTCTGCTACTTCCTCTCCATCCCAAGCTCTATATTTACACAATCCTCAACTTACTGTCTATTGCACATCGAAATTTCATAATTTTCTGTATAACCTAAGAAATATAGCCAATAGACCCTAGTTTCAGACCATACCAATATTAAATCCCCAAAATGAAATGAGTCTTAAATCATGCTTCAATTGTCTCAACACAACTCCCATGTATATTAAACCATAATTTGATCAACCCCTTAGTTCTATTCAATTCCTCTAATCTGTCTTAAATCATATGTATATATCTTACAACATTATGTTTTTTTATACGTAAAGTAATTTTATTAGAAACAGAATATTCATATCTTACAACACTACGTTATAAATTTAGAACTTCAAAATTCAGATAAGTTATTTACTTGCATGTATAAAATAGATATTATAAGCATACATTTTTTTGTTCTGCTCCTTACAAGCACATCTGTTGAGATAAAGAGGCTAAAGGTTGGAAGATCAGGTTGTTCTTTGATGTCTTTCATATTTAATTCTTGTAGAAGTGATTTTTTTTATTGGGCAAATGCTTAACCTGCATGGCTTGTTATCATTACACCTTGGAATGACAGGATTTTTTTTTTTTTTTTGAGAAAAGGTAACTTCCATTAACAAAAAGAGGGAAGCTCTATATCACTATACAAAAAGTGCCTGCCCACCCCAGATTTAGCTAGAGCATATGCCACTGAGCAAGGATCAAAATTTCGATGCATATCGGAGCAAGGATCAAAATTTCGATGCATATCGGAAGCCTCCTGATACGCCCCTACAGGGAGTGCTTCGGGGTTTAACCCGGTTCAGGGGGTAGAAGATCCTTAGACCGACCCCTCTGAACCAGGTTCACAAAAAAAAAGCACTAAAAAAAGGGGGACCGACCCCTACCAGTGTATCGGGCTGTATCGATATTTTGAACCTTGCCACTGAGTTTAGGTCTCTTGGAACCCACCTGAAATCACAGGCTAACTGCAATTGAATGACCCTGATTTCATTGAGTTGATGGGAGAATCTCCATGGCCCCTCCTGCTGGTTTAGCATCCAGCTAATAACCACTTCTGAGTCTCCTTCCACCACCATAAGGGACATTACACACCTCAGCCCCACCAGCAAGGCCTGCACCTCGGCTTCAACAGCTTCAGTCTCCCCAATGGACCCCACTGTAGGCCCAAACTTGAATACCTGAGGTAAGAATTCTGCCACCTATCCCTGCCTGACCTCTGTGACCAAGTCTGCTTAGGCAGCTGCCATCAACCTGGAGAATGAATTCAGTACAGGGTCTGGGGGGGCACAGGAGAAGAATGAGCTATTTCATGACATGAAGAACTCAGAACCGGCCCCAGATTTCTAAGTCTTCCATAGATATGCCTCTAAAAATACTAGAACATCCGGGAGTCGATCCAGAAAATCACCCGTCCTTTTAACTCTTCCAAGGGAGAACACTCTACACAAATGCACCACCACACCGCATGGAGAATTGCTTTCCCATAAAGATTACCTCTTTAAGTCAAGGTTCACCCAGGCTGCAAAAGGAATTCAGACACCGAGTTGGAAGGAACCCAGTGGAAGTTACCTCTGTAGAAGATTCCAAAAAGAATTGCCATAGACTTCTGGCTACTTCACAGTTTATAAGGTGGCAAAATGTCTCCCCATCCTTCATGCACATAACACAAGTGTGAGGAGAAACAATAAAGGTGTCCCTTTCTCTTCCTTAAGATCATATAACAAGTATTGATGCTGCCACAATAGGCCTCCCACACAAAAAAAGCAGATTCTTGAGGGGACCGCAAAGAGCCAAATCTTTCTATTGGGGGGAAGGGGAGTTAGTTGTCCTAGACACCAACACACCATGAAAGGATTTGGTGGAAAACTGACCATCCACAGAAGGCCACCAAATTCTCTTATCCTGAACCAAAGGGGAAGGATATTTTGTGATAGCTTTAATGTTCAATGTCTTCTGTACTGCCGGTAAACTATTAGCTGGCCATCAATAGTTAATGGGCCTAGTTCCCCATACTCTAAAATGCTACTTTTTATATACTCCATGCCATGTTATAGTCTTTTGTAGTTAGAAATGATTTAACCGGCCATAATTTAACAATGGATATGGCATTAAAACAGAATAGAATGGCAAAACAAGATTCATGTTGCCAACCTCGTATAGTTGGGATAAGGCTTGGATGATGCCATGCTGTAGTTGTTTCTTCCATGGATAGGCTATTTTATTTCATTATCCAAATTTAATGAGTACATTATTTTGTAGCCCATGCCTAGGGAGGCCAAAAATGCCTAGGCACCTTGACATCGTTAGTATTTATGTAGACAAGTTGGCAAGCATAATAGATAGGTTGGTATAGGGAGTGATCTCTTGGATGGCATCCTAATGTTAGGAATCATACATGTAAATGAATTCTAATAATTAACAAAAGACACTTGGTTACCCGTTACCTTCATCATAAAATAAAAAACAATACCTTGTCCTCCACCTTCTCATCAACATCAGTCTCTACTGAATCAAGATCGAGTTGTTCAAGCTTCACCCATTCATCAAGTCTCCTATTATCTGTGCATAATAACAAAAAGCAAATAGATGATAAATGATCCAGCTCCAGAATTAAAGACAATGAGAGGAAAAAAAGGTAAATAACAAGCAGAAAGATGAACAGAAAGGACTCACAAAAACTGATTGATGAAGGAATATGTTTATCAAAGTTAACAAATTATGAATGATAATGCCAAGCATTTATAGATGTAGTTTTTAATATGTAAAACAAAGACAATGTGATATGGAACACAAAGGAGATAATGTTCCAAGCTGCCTATGAATAATTTAGACCTCAAACCAAAAATGGATGGAGAGCTATCTCAAGTCTGTACCTATCAAAAAGAAAAATTACCTGTCCAAAAAAAACCTATCTCAACTCTCAAGCCCGTCACTTTACTTGTGACCTGGTTTTGAATGGTCAAAACAACTCAAAACCTACCTGCTTGGCTTGATTTTGGTATCTTGGATAGGTTAAATCTGTATCTGCATATATATGGGTTTTGATGGGTGGCTAGAAGCCAGAGGACAACTTTCCATTTGTAGAATAGAGAGTGTTTACCTTGATTGATGTTTTATGCAGGGTATGGAAGCTATGGATAAAAAGACAATAAATATGTCGGTCCTGAGATTCATTCACAAGATTACAGGAAAGAGTATTCGAGCCATTCCCAGAATGATCCCTTTGAAGGAGCACAAGGTTTGATTTGGTCTCACAGTCTCAGTGAGAAGGACAACCAAATGTAACTAGGGGCCTTGTGGAGGCAGGTGTACAAAAGGGTAAACCATGTAGGCTCATCGGTAAAGTGGGGTATGTATTGAAGGTAGGGATAGAGATATTAAATAATTAACAACAAATCCTTAAAAACCAATTAAGGAGGTTACACATTATTACAAGAAGGCAAGTAAAAGGGTCCAAACTAAAGCTGAAGAGAAAGACCTGAGCCATCAACAACTGCTACAGATCAACAGATGCAAAGGGGAAAACAAAATTCAAATTCAAATAGGGAAAGGAATGTTATAGCCTCAGCAAATGGTAGCAAAAATTGCCCAAATTCCTAATGGAAATGCCTCCAAGAGCCAAATCTAATATATAGTAAGAGCAGTCAACCCCACTTTCAAAAAAAAGTGCCAACTTCTTCAGAGAGGTGGTTATCTATCAAAAATAACCCATTTCAAAAGATATGAGGCCCATATTAATGTGTTTGATTCAACTTCCTAATTCAAATAAAAGACTTATTAAAACACTTTTTTTGGCTGGATAACACAAAGACTCATTTTAAAACTTTCAATGGTGTGGATCCATTCTTTTTAGGGGTGCAACTTGGGCTGGCCCAGCCCAAGCCCGAACCGACCCAACCCAAAATTTTACACAGGCTGGGCTTGGATTTTCGGTCCTCGAGCTGGGCTCGGGCCCAAGAAGTCGGGCCGAGCTCGGGCCTAGCCCTTAGGTAGCCCGAACCCGGCCCAATTATATACATTTACACATAGATATGTGTATATATGTAAATGTTGCATACATATTTACATATATATACATACATATTTGTATATATAACATTGGTATAGATGTTTTGCATACATACATAAATATATGTATATATTTGCATAAATACTTTTATATATGTATAATATAATTTTAGAGTGGGTTCATTGACCAACCCGAGCCCGGCCCGGACCGGACCTGAGCCCAACCCGAGTGCATCAAATTACAGGGTGGTCTGGGCTCAGGTTGGGAAAATTGAGCTTGACCTCAAGCTCAGACCGAGCTCGGGCCTTAAGCCCAAATTTTAGGGCCGGGCCTGGATTGACCATAAACACGGCCCAACCTGCCCGACTTGCACCCCTAATTCTTTTAGATGAAATAGGTTATCACTTACAAATTAAACCTGTAATTTTTTCAATAAATAACTCAAATTAAATATACTATATAAATAGTAAATCTCAAACACAAAATAATATATAGGTGTAGTTGCCCCTTACTTAGTAAGGGGGTCATTCTCTAGTGGGTAGTGGAAAGTTAGCACCCAATCCAGGATCCGGTCTCCTAGTTACTGCCACTGAAATGACACGTGAGGCATATCCCTAACTCAGTCTCTTCTCTCCTGGTGGACTACTGCAGCAATAACCCATTCACCTTCCCTCATGCTTTCAGTGTGTCCATTAATACCCCAGAATCTCTTCCATCAAACACAAGATTATTGCATTTCATCCCTCCAACACTAGTCAGATCCTAAGACAAGGACATAGAAGATTCCTATAGCAGCCAGGTCTATGATGAATAGCAGCCAGGTCTATGATGAATAGCTCTATCAATAAATGTGCATCATTTATGATAACACCAATACACATCGACTCCACTCCCCTCAAAAAAATGTCTACCCAAGGGCTCCTTCCTAAATAGCTCGATCAGTAAATGTGCAATGTTAGCACGTTATAAAATAGGGAAACGAAGATTGTTGGAGAGGATTCGTTTCGTACCAAATAGTATGTTGAAGGGTAATCAAGTGTGAAAATTGAAAAAATTCTTCTCTGTAGGAACTTTAAGAGGTCTTCTTCTGCCTAGAACCAATCTCTTACTCTTTACTTTCTCTTCTTTTTGTTCAAAGTACAGTATAGACTACAGAATCATACATCTAAGAGCAATAAAATGTGCCTATTGATATTTGTATCAATTTAATCACTGCCCTGGTGCTTACTCTATCTTTTTTCATAAAAAATGAGGTAAAATTAACTATAAAAGAGATTCTTCTCGGATCAGCACTCTAACTCAAATTGCTGATTCCAAGTATAACTATAGTATATAAAGGCATTTGCATGAAGAAATAATACCAATATGGAGGAAGAAGAAGTAAGGAAAAAAAAGCACATCTTCGTTCATCGTAACGCACAGAGTGTCCATAGTAATCAGTGAATTTTGACCTAATTTGCAAGTCGTTCTATGTTTCGAACAGGAAGAGATTCGAAAGGAACTCACATTCGGTATAGTGGACGTAATACTCGTAATCGCTGGGGACACCGCAGGGAATCTTGCGTCGTTCAATGACCTTGACAGGGTGGAATTTTCCGTCCCTCCAACGGCACATGACTCGCGTCCCAACCTCGAGAGGGAGCACTCCCGCCTTTCTCTTCCCCGATGCGTCATTTTCAGGAGGGTTTCCGGCAAGAACTCGGTCCTGTGAGCCATCTTCGGGCTGTTGTTGGTTTTCGTTGCCTTTTGGGGCTGAGCCGTTCTCTGATGTCGTTCGCGCTTCCATTGAACCCATGCTGAGCAGACGAGCGCGAAAGGAGTGAAGCCGGCGATTGGAGATATGACGGCCTTAACCGAGGAGTTTTATCCAGATACCAAAATAGCTTAATAGCCCCTGAAATTCCCCAAATTAGGGCTGCAAATTTGCAAATGGATTGATCGAATCGGATCGGATATGTGTAGACCCAAATTTCTTTTCCCATATATGAAATATGATATATGTTCGTTCGAATCGGATCTCATCGTCGGATTCAAATTAATTCACATTGCAACCGGATATTGAATAGTATTAAACCTTTTTTCTTTTTCTTCATGGGCTACCCAACGGGGTAGTAGCTCATCCCCTGTTACCTTAATAAGTCAATCAACTGAAGGCTGAAGCAACCAAATATCAGTCGGTGAATAGTATTAAATTAAAAAGGAAAATTTCCATATTGGTAGCATGTATTTTAAGGGTAGTCTGATATTCTTATTTTAGTATCTACTGAACTCTAAAATATATTAATTTAGTTCGTGCGTTAATGGTCTATCAGTTATATATATTATGTGATAATATGTAAGATTTCAAATTTTTAAAAATATCAAAATTATTCTAAAGGAGACATTAGGGGTGGCAATTTACAATTCAACCCGCCCAACCCATCCATTTATTAGCGGGGTTGTATTTGTTAATCCTGGGTCTTTAGCGGATGGGTCAATTCAATAAAAATATTTTTAATGGGTTGGGTCATGGACATCCAACGAGCATTCAATAAGGCTACTTTCTTTTTTATTTGGAAAGAGCTTTATTCCTCCCGTTTTCCACAATTCTCTCTCTTTCTTTGTGCCAATACTTACATTTCTTCGTAATTACTGCAATCGTTAGAGAACATTACTTTCTACATTAGAGTGCATCGTTGATTCTTATGGTGATGTGAACAGTATTGGTGTTGTTGCAGTCGTGGAAGACGGAGGTTCTATTAATATATCGGTGAAATTCGGATTGAGTACAAGGAGTTCGAGACTAACATGATAGTGTTGTTTTTGAAGTCGTAGTCCGTGCTAGAAATCTAACTCTGGTGTGAAAACTACTGGTAGAGTTGTAAAATGGGCTAGGCTGGGCCGGGCTGGCTCATGGGCTAGGTCGAGCCGTGCATCAGGCCAAAGTTATTTATTTAAAAAAATTGACAAAAAAACTTTAAATTTTAATTTTATATGAATTTTGATGTACACAATAATTAAATAAAATTAAAAAAATATTTATTTTATTAATATTATAGAATATATTATTATATTATATAATTATAATTTATATAAATATATAAATAATATATGGGTCATAACGGCACGCGGACCACAGGCGGCATGACCCACTCGGTCGTGCCGTGCTAGCTCAGCCCATGGACTTAAAACTCCAAGCTCCTGTGGACTATCATGCCAGGCCACGAGCGGCACGACCCGATTTACACCTCTAACTACTAGTAAGTCGTTCACATCTCTCAAACTCGTTGCAACTGTTCATTTATCACTTGTATATAAGCAGAGGATTTTGGCGAGGTTGGAACATTTCATTCCTTTTCTACTTGTTTTTTTTTTTCTCTGCATTTTATTTTGATTTTTTTTGGACAAAAATTCATTCTTCACTTCTACATATTTTGCTGAAATTAGGAATTTCACATTTGGCCTTTTAAGTTGATATTTTCTTACTTAATTTTTAAAATCTTCTTTTAATCCCAAGAGGAATTATTCCCAACTCTTAAATCTGGAGACAAGCTGGAGGGATTTGGGCATTGAAGTGGAGGCGAAATTTCCTCTTCATTTCTGGACTTTTTTGTAATTTATATTATTTTCCATGTATTTCTTTGATTTTTTGTAATTTATTTTATTTTTCATGTATTTATTTGTTTTTTATAATTTATGTTATTTTTCTTCAATTTCTGGGTTTTTTTCATAATTTATGTTATTTTTCATAATTTCTGGCTGGATGAGTTTTATTTAAGTTGGTTTATGCGAGAGTGGTAGGTAAGGAAAATTAGATGGCACCTAAAGGGCATTTTTGTCCTTACAAATGCCACTTAAAGTCGATCGCTGATTTTTGACTAAATTAATAGTTTTTGAGAGTTCAAGTACTATAGTGACATGTTTTGAAATTCGGGTACTAAATAGAGGCTACCCTAAAGTATAGTGTGCTAATATGGAATTTTCTCAATTAAAAATAACAAAAATAACAAAATATTATTAATAGATCTATCTATATTATATAAAGTGGACGTTCAGTTTGGTGTAGTTGTAAAAGTTAAACTTGATTATATACAACACCTTACTTTCTTCAAAAAAAAACTTGATTATATACAACACCTTACTTTCTTCAAAAAAAAACTTGATTATATAATATTAAATTATATCCCTACTCTTTACTTATATATGCACAATTGAATAAGTTGAATTAAAAAATATTTTTAAATTAATCTGAAAAAAAAAGACTTCAATATTTTATTTCATACTGTTTAGAAAAATCAAAGAGAACTAGTTTGTCGAATTGGTTAAATTGTGACTTGGGCATCTAATGGGTTTAGTCATGTCCCTAAAACCAATATTACCAAAAAGTTGGTTAAAATCATCCCCTCAATTGGTCCAATCTAGGAACCAATGAACCAATCCCAATTTTGTGTAGTTGGTTGGTTTTTTTTATCATTTTTATTTGACCTTATATGCAAACTTCCGTAAGCCATAGCATTACACTTGATTGTTTGATTGAATGATATTTTTTTATCTTTGGTAACTTTCTAAAATCTCCATGTGTTCCCAATTAGCCAAACGTGCTTTTGCCCTATTATTTTTGGCAAAAAAAAAATATCTTTTTGGCCTCAAATATTTATTTTTAGGGAAAATTCTCAATAAGTACCTTGTACTTTGGCTCAAGTGACAAAATTGGAACTAATATATATAACATAATATAAATATGTATTTTGAATATATAAAAAATACAAAATTAATATACATATGTATGTATGTATGTATGTATGTATGTATGTATGTATGTATGTATGTGTGTGTGTGTGTGTGTGTCTTATATTATCGTGTATTGGCCTCAAATGAACCTATGGCCCATGAACGACTCCCTTTTTCAAGTTCAATGTTCGACATACTTCTATCATGAACAAAATGAGTTAAAAATAACTTGTATCAAACTCGAACCTATGGCAAATTTAGGGCTACTAATGTCATGGCTTTGTTTTTTAAATCAAAAAACAATCATCATGTATGCAAAAAATATATATTTTTTGCTAATGTGACAATTGTTTTTGTTTTAAAAAATTAAACCATTGAGGTTTCTCATTGGTTCCCCCCTCTTGATGCAATATCACTACATATTATAAAAACATGCATTAATTATATATAATAAATATATATACATTATTATCAAATTAATAGAAAAATAATTTATTAAATTACGCTATAAGTAGGGCATTTTATGTATAGACCAAGCTTCGAGCTTTATATAAGGGTCGGGCTCAGGCTCAAGCCTTGACATTTTTTGTTGATAAAAAGACAAAACCTGGTTTGGCCCGACCAGTGAACAGGTTTATTCACAACCTTTTTGTAATTGTGCATTGATAACATCTCCATACTTATACGCTGTTATTCATGGGGAGACATTCCCAATTTAAGGGGTTGTGAAAGCCAAATTCCTATATCTTTCGATTTATTTCCATCCCTATATATATCTATCTTGCAAATACATGCATTTAATTTATCATCAATGTTTTAAAATATTAATGTCTAACTTTAAAACTTTTTTTTGAAAACAGTTTAAGTTAAACTTACATAATGAGTAAGAAATTGAAATAATAATAAGAGAAAAAAATAACAATACAATAAGACAAATAATAAAAGTAATGTAAACATTCAATAATTAATTAAAAATCTTATTATAATTATATATGATGCAACTACAAAATTAAATACAGTTAATTAATTAAGTAGATTTAATTATTCTCAAATGATTGTTATTACTCATTAAAGACTCACTTAATTATAGTTAATTAATTAAGTAGAGTTGATAATTAATTACTTAATTAATTGTTGTTAAAAATTACTCTTAATAATTGATAAGTAATTATAGTTAATTATTTACCAAACTTTTTTGAAAAAGTAATCTAATAGTAAATTACCATATTTAATGAATTATTTAAATTATAATTATTATTTTAATTACTATAAAATGATTTTATAGTAATTAAAATAACAATAATTATAAATAAAATATTATTGCAATTTACTTGAATTATTAAATATAAATATAATTAATAATATGATAATTATTATTGAAAATTACCATAGTTTATGAAAATTAAGTTACTTAATTAGTTACTGAATTGTTTGGAAAAATAATTTAATAGTAAATTACCATATTTAGTGAATTATTCTCGTAAAATATCAATAATTAAAATGATAGTAATTTAGTAGTAAATTATTACTAAATTAGTGAATTTACAAACATTTTGTTATGTAAAATAATAAAGTAAATTACTTAGTTATTTGAGTAAAACATCACAATAATTAAACAATTTCACATTTATTTACTTAATTAGAGAAAATAATTGTATAGTAATTAAGCTCAACCTAGGCCCAACCCTTAGAATTGGGCTTAAGGCCTGATCTTGAGGTCAGGCTGGATTTGTCCAACTCGAGCCTAGGTCACACTAAAATTTGATGCACTTGGATTGGACTCAGGCTTGGGCCACTGGACTTGGGTTAGTCAATAAGCCACCCGAGTGTGTCAACTTTTGTGCAGGTTGGGCTCAAGTTGAATAGTTTGTGCTTGACCTCCAGTTCAGGCTTTAGAACTCAACCCAACTCACTTGACTTGCACCCCTAGGCTAAACTATATAGAGAATAATTTGACAAGAGAGAGAGAGAGAGAGAGATTGAAGAAAAAAAAAAGAATGCATTTTACATTCAACAAATAACTCGTCACTAAAAAAGGTAAAAAATTAAGCATGTAATAAGATTTTCTCACACTTTATTAATTAGGCTCAATTTAGAAAGAGCACAAATACAAATTAATGTGTACAGTAGAAATACATACAAAATAATACAAAATGCGAGGTTTTGCA